AGTTTCATTGGCTAAGCAGGTACTGGGTCCTCAGCCTGTCCAACACGCAGTCGTGGTGGGACTACCCAGCCACTTGTGTAGTGCAATCTAATAAGACCCATTATTTATGTCTTTTGAGTTTGCCTTCACTAGGACTAAGGAGCATCACATGATTATTTAATTACAGCTCTAGTTTTTGTCTTGTGGGTGGAAACATATCAACAATTAATAGGGCAGATAGAAAAGAGTTGGGTTTTTTGTCTCAAGTGTTATTTATTTTTTTCCATTTATTTATTAATTTAATCTCTTTATATCCTGACCCCAGCCCCTTCCTGCCTCTTTTCCCAGTCCCACCCTCCTGCCCTCCTTCCCCTACTCTCCCCTCACATTTTTCTCAAAGAAGTGGAGGACCCCAAGGGTTATCAAGCCACTCAGGTCACAGCAAGACTAACAGCAAACTCTCCCACTGGGGCCTGACAAGGCAGCCCAGCTAGGGTAAAGGGATCCAGAGTCAAGCAAGAGTCAGGGACAGCCGGTACTCCCATTGTTAGGGTACCCACCTGTTGACCAGGTTGCACATCTGCTAAAGTGTAGCTCTCCTCCTGCCCAGGGGCTGCCTCCTAGCAGCCCATGAAGTCAGGAGGGGCAGGAGATGAGAAGCCAGCATGCCTGGAATGGCTAGCAAGAACCACACAGGGATCACACACCCTCAAACCAGAGCGCTGATGGCTTGTTCAACTTTAATGCCAGACAACAAAGGCTGTATACCCCTAGGGGAGTGGGTGTGGCTCCAAGAATAGGTGTACATAATTGGTTAGAACTAAGCACTTCAGGGATGCTTGATTTGCATTATACAACATGTTTCTATTGTAATAGTAGAATGTCAGTGCTTAATTAACATATAGGCACAGGGAGGGGAGAGCTAGCAGGGAGCTGTGTCAGAGGCCATATATCAAGTGTGGCTAGAGTAATCTGTGTCTAAAGAGACTTTCCAGATGAAGTAAGGCAGAGAGCAAGGGACCCCACAGAGAAGAGGAGGTTGTGCCTTTTGTGCCAAGCTCGTAATGGCTATCTGGTCCAGGCAAGATACTGCAACCTCAGCAGCAGGAGGGTACCTCCAAAACTACATATGTGTAGGAGGGTCTGGGTCCAGCCCATGCAAGCTTTTTGGTTGATGATTCAGACTCTGTGAGCCTTCATGGGATTAGGTTAGTTGATTCTGTATACAGGTCTTCTTGTGGTGAGCTTGACCCTTCCAGTTCTTTCTAGCCTTCCTCCCCCCCTTCCACAGAACTCTGGGAGAGCTTGACATAATAGTTGGCTTTGGGCCTCAGCATCTGTTTCCATCAACTGCTCTATGAAGCTTCTCAGAAGACAGTTATGCTAGGATCTTGTTTGCAGTCATAACAGAACATCATTAATACTGACAGGGGTTGGCTCTCTCCCATGGGGAAGACACCATTTATTCTACAGAGATGTTCATCTAGGGAAAAAAAAAACAACAAAACTATCTGATACAGTGAAAAAGTGGATAAAATAGCCAAAAATATAAAACAAAAAAATTAATCTTAGAAATTGTGACTCTGAGAAAAAGCAGGTAGCAATGCTAGAAGTAAAGAGTTAATCAAATCAGAATACAGTGGGAAGAATCATTAACTGATAAAACCAAGCAAAAGAGCACATCATAGAACGGCTGCCAAAGCTGAGACAGTAATGCACCCAAATGTAGTGAGAACCGCCAAAATTCCAGGATCTTTTTCGTATACACAAGATGAAAACAGACTAACCAGAACTAAGAATGCATGGAAGAAGAGAGTGGAGATAAATCTAAAGTCATAGAAATGCCAGCCAATGAAACTGTAGCAGAAGTTTTCTCGAAGCAAAGAAAAATAAGCAACCCAAGAGGAATTGTTGTCACCAGATATAAGTCACCAGAAAAGAACCTTGCCATAGCATGTTACAGTCAAGTTATCAAAAATATGGAGCAAAAAAACAATATTAAAAACTGTAAAGGGAAAATACCAGTTCTCTCTAAAGGCAGAAACATCAGAATAATAGCCAGGAACCTGGTTGAATATTGAATGTTGTATTTCAAGACCTGAAAGGAAATGATTGCCAGTCAGGATTGATAGACATAAGAACATTTTAAGACAGCACAGTCCATGACAATGGAATCAATGTTGCAGAAAAGATCTGTCTGAATACAGAGAGAGGATAAAGGGTCTCATTCAGTGAAGCCCAGAAAAGAAAGAACACATAAGAGCAGTGCATGAACAAAGGAGGGCTGAGATTCATCACAGCCAACACAACAAGAAAGAAATGCCCCAATGCTAACGGGAGAGGAAGCAGTAATTAACAATAGTCCCAATCTCCTAAACAACAAACACATAGGAAGTCCCTTCTCAAAAATGACCCAATGCAAATACCGTAGACACAAAAATTAAAAAATGCAGACCAACTACTGCATTAAAGCAAGGTCTGTCTTACTCAAAGAGACATGCCTATATGAAAGATACCTACAAACTGTCTAAGGGTGGAAGGCAGCCTGTCAAGGGAACAAATACACTCTTGCTGTGTGCTCATCAAGAAATAAGAATGGACTCTTCATGTAGTAAGACCCCGATTAATTCCTCATTAAACCACTTCCTCTGTAGGAAACAAAGCTTTGAGCGATGGGGAGAGAACTTTGTCTTGTTCGTGTCATAAGAAACTCAAGAGCCATAGGTTCCAGCTGTTCTTGTGTGACCTCTGCGGAGACCATACAAACAGTGGTGCCTGCTCACCACAGGGAGGCCCCCTGGCAACCTTTATTGTAAGAGGCGGTAGCCATTGATGCACAGTGACACCACTCTGTGAGCCAGCAGTGAGATTGACCTGGGCTTTGACTGAAGGTGCTGGAGCACCAAGCCCTTTGCCTAGTAGAGGAGAAAAGGCAAAGGGCGGCCCGTAGTCTGGCTGGATCACCCCCTGGATAATTACACAGAGAAACATGGAAAAAGGTGTCGTCTCACGTTCTTGTTCTCCTTTGATTCATTTAATTTCTGTATGTAATTAGGTAATATGAACACATGATAGAGATATATGGGCTTGATTTTGAAACAGGGTTTTCCTATGGAGCCCAGGCTAACCTGTCCTGGCCTGTCGTGTGGTGGAATTAAAGGACTACCATTCAGTCTCATGGGTGAGTTTCTCTTTCAGGGTGAAGGTCTTTCGAGAACCCCCTTTTACACCAGGGGTCACTATCCATGGTGTTCTCTCACTGGCCTGGAGCATGGTGACATGTTTTGATTTATGCCAGACCTACAAAAACTCACATACATACAATTCTACTTCCACTTGGGAAGTTAGAGAGCAGCTCATTTGGGGGTAAAGATTGTAGCAACTGGTTTAAAAGTTCTTTAGAACTCACAGGAGTAAAAGGAGGAAAAGACTGCAACCCCAGTGAGGAAGATTTGGGAATGAGACAGGAAATTATAATTCAAAAAAATTTCTTCGACACTTTGCAAAAGGGAAAATGTGTCTTGGTGAAGAACCCTGCCCATGTTCCTGGGACACCCATACAAAATAATACCAATTTCAGCACTGACTCTAAGAGCAAGAATCCCGCATCTGTGCTTTGAGAGGAAAGAATAAGAAAGGAAAGCCTGGTGACTGTCATCAGTTGCTACTTCCTGCCCTTTTCGAAGCCCCAGGGACACACTATCTTCTTTCCATGTTACACATGAAGAAACTGGCTGGGCAGTGGTGGCTCAGGCCTGTAATCCCAGCACTCGGGAGGCAGAGGCAGGTGGATTGGATCTCTGAGTTCAAGGCCACCTGGTCTAAGAGAACATTCCAGGACACTCTGTCTTGTGGAGGGAAAAAAGAAAAGATCCACACAGAGGCTCTGTAATTGACACAGGGAGGACAAGAGGCAGAAGCAGGCTTGGTGCCTGGAATCCTGCCTCTGGAGTCCTTCCCTCTGTGCCTTCTTGTTCCTGAGACTTTCTTCCTAAGGTCACAAGGGAAGGTAGCATGAGACCAAGCTCAGCAGCCTGAGGTTTAAGCAAATGGTCACTATGCAGTCTAAGGAAGTGCTCAATGGTCTATGCTGAAAGATGAAGCGATATTGAGGTACTGGGCTCCCAACCTGCCTTGCAGACCAGGAAAGACTGAAATGAATGAAACTGTCCCTGCATGCCACCAATCCCAGCCATAGATTCAGGACCATCTGTGTCCTCACCTGTGAAAGTAGTGCAGTCAATTATCCATCAATTCCTAGGCACAGCTTATTGGGGGGAGGGGGGGCAATGAGCCAAACGTTTCTCTCCCATTAAGTCTCAGAGGCAAAAGGGAAGCCCTGCTTCCCTGTAATCAACCCCACATCTAAAGTGCCCCCAGAGAGGCCCTGGATCTCTAGCCTGATCTTTATTGCATGGTCAACAGAAGAGCAGAGAAGTTCGCGTGGAGTTCACTGTGCTCTGAGGCCCTTCATTTCATCTTCCACGAGGGAGCTCTTAAGTTCCTTGTCCTGCAGCCAAACTCGGGCCAGTGTTCAAGCGCCGAGCTTATCTGACTTACACATTAATTATCTTTTATTACACCAGTAGGCCTTTGCTGTCCCTTTCCCCTTCCTTAGAAGCCACGTGGCCCCAAGGAGACACTTCTCAAGAGCGTGCTGAAGGGAAAGCACCTTCAATAAATTTGTCTTAAAGTTCTGTCTGGAGTGGACCAGTTTGAACCCCAAGCTGTCCCCAGCCGTGTCAGAGGCCTCCCATCTACCAAACAGAACTGTGTTGAGATGGAATGAAAAATCTTACAAAAACTGAAAGTGAAATGAGGAAGACAGATTGAGCAATCAATGGAAGGCCAGAGCCAGCGAACCAACTTCAGGGTGGCAAAAGATGTAGAAGAGAGAAAGTCAGGAGAGTGCTCCTGGGGGAGGCCAGCCCTGTCATGCCCTGAGGGCAGCCTCCGGGGACACAGACGACAGGAAATGACCCACCCCTATAGTCACTTACCCCAAAGACTCAGACCTTCAAAGTATTCATCGTGGAATGGATGAGTCTGCAGCCACCCAGCGGCTGCGCCTTTCCTTTTGCCCTGAGAAAGGAGAAGAAATGAAAGTGGGGTGTGTTCCCATCACTCCGCAGAAGGAGGGTGCCTGGGTGGGGGTCAGCAGAGATGGCAGGCTGCTGGCTGCGACCCTCCTGCTGGCCCTGTTGTCCAGCGGCTTCACAGTGATGTCCTTGTACCGGTTGGCTGCCCTGCAAGCCGACCTGACGAGCCTGCGCACGGAGCTGCAGGGCTACCGAAGCTCCGCAACACCTGCGGTCGCGGAGGCCCCGGGGGCCACCGCGGGAGCCCAGGTGAGTTCGCTCCTCCTCTCCCTATCCGGCAGCCCCAGGCGCACTGCTCCCGGCTGCTGTCCAGTAACGGGGTGGTGTCTCTATTCCTAGCTCCTGGCACCGGCAGCTCCTGGACCCCACAACTCCAGCCTGGGCCGCAGAAACAGACGCTCCTTCCCGGGACCGGAAGAAACAGGTATGTCTGGGCACAGCGGTCCGGAGCTGGGGCTGTGCTGTGCACGCCTGCAGCCGCTGTCGGGGGCTAAGCGCTTTCCGTAGCTTTGTAGCAGATGCAAAAGGATGCACTGTGTGCCTTGCCCTACGGAGGAGCAGGGTGTGTGGCCAGGAGGACTCTGGGCTCTGTAGGAGCTGACAGAGGACTGGGGTGGGCGCGTCCCTCACGCGGAAAGTGTGCTCAGGGACTCGGCAGCACAGCAATTCCTGTCCCTGCAGAGGGACGTGCCCACCCTGCATCTCAGTCCCTTCCCAAAGGTGTGCAGAGTTCCCACGTTCCAGCGTAGTTCAGAGGTGGACAAACCCTGCAGCATGTGGGGTTTACTCTTGTTTGTGTGACACGCGCACACGCGCACTCGCATTGGGGGCAGGTGCGCAACGCGCGGAGATGACGAAGACTGGCGTTGACGCAGCCTTTCCATGTGCATTGTAATTTCCTTGTGATCGCTCTGTAGTGGCTTCGGTGACTCCACATTCCCTAGCAGTTTGCAGCGTGGAGAGTTTACTAGAAATGATCGTTTCTCCCTGCGTCACCGGGGAAAGCAGAAATGCTTGTTACACCCTCGCTGTTGCCCACATCTTTATTCACATGAAAACATTTTACCTGATAGCCTGAGTTAAAAATGACTTACAAGCCATACAAGCAACCATCTGTTCGCTAAGCGACAAGCCAAAAGAGTATGGAAATATTACATATGTCGCAGAGCCAACAATCTGGCACGATTTAGAATTTACTGTGTGCAGTGTGAGCTACCGTCCACCTTTTTCGCTGAAAGAATTACAGCACATACACTGCATTGTGCACAATAGCAGCACAGGGCCCCGTGTGCGAAATAGCAGCACAGAGACCACAGAGCATGGGATACCAGACATAATTCCATGTGGAATAACGCCCTGTATCATGCTGTGTGTGCGATAGCGGCACACAATCCCAGGGCCTGGACTAGCAGCGCGTGCAGCTGCGGTACAGCTGCGGTACAGCAGCCACAGGGTGCAGACCCCGCTGTGCTTTCTAATTTTCCAGCAAGCATCTCACCGCTCTCTCGGGGATTCCCTCGGGGATTCCCTTAGCCTTAGCTACTGTTCATTTTTTAAATAGTGAGTTTAATTTTTTCTGTGACACAGGATACATGATGTTTTTTGTACCTCTTGTTTCTGAGGAACTATGCATTCGACAGAATCACAATTTATTATCCAAGTTCCTTATTGGGAAATCTTTGGGAAGACCGTTTCTATGTAGCCATTACCATTTCACCCTTTAACCTTCATTTTGATACTTTTGTAGTTTCAACTAGCTTCTCAAATTTGCTTGTAAGCTTAGTAAATGTAATGTATAATTAGTTTTTAATTTTTATCTATCTTTTCTAATTTTTGATTGGTTGGTTATCCTAATTTTTACAGTTTCACATTGATGCAAATATTTTCACCACCACATCTTGTGTGTTCTTCAAATCTGTACAGAGCTGTTGCATGTGTTAAGGAGATTTTTTTTGTTGTTTCCTCTGGTTTACCAAGTTCAAGCACTTTCTCCCCTGGCTCCCTAAGTAGCAAGCACAGTGCCTATCACTTGTCTTTTGTTATGACTAAGGGCCCCTGGCTCTGACCTCATTAATCCCTCTGCCTTTTGTTGTGGTAAATCCTCTCTTGGAGTGTTGCTTCCTCCTTCATCCCCCTTCCACCTGTCACCTCGAAAAGTAGGCTGCTATTCTCCTTGACTCCTGTGCTGGTGACCTTGCCACAGGGAGTTCTTTATACATGGCGGAATTTGTGTCAGATAGTTTTATCACTGGCTTGTTCTCCTACCTGTCTGCTTGAGATGGACTAAATAGCTTTACATTTCAATGGCGTCAATCTACAGTCAGGTCAGGACGCCACCGTGGTCTTAAGACTTCTCTGCTACACATCCAGGTTTCTAAAGACTGGTTTCAAAATAATCCGCAACTTCACCATTCTAGAGAGGACAGAGACTCATTTTAAAAGCATTAATAGTAAAAGATAGTAGAGAACTATGATGTATGTCTTTAATCCCAGCACTTAGAAGGTAGAGGCAGGCAGACCTTTGTGAATTCAAGACCTAGCCTGATCTGTATGGGGTTCCAGGCAAACAAGGGCTATGAAAGAAAGAAAGAAAGAAAGAAAGAAAGAAAGAAAGAAAGAAAGAAAGAAAGAAAGAAAGAAAGAAAGAAAGAAAGGAAGAAAGGAAGGAAGGAAGGAAGGAAGGAAGGAAGGAAGGAAGGAAGGAAG